ATATTTGATCAACTAATAAACATTTAGAAAGAAAGAGGAATAGTTTTCTGGAACCATTGGGGTTGGCAGTTCTGCAGTTTGTTTTAAAGAAAGTACTTGGGCATTACTTGGTCATCTCTCACTTTGGGAGTTCTAGTGATACATGTGGTTAATGGAACTGTAAGATTACAATTAAGTTCTGCTTTTTATAGGTTTGTATTCTATCTCTCAGAAAGGCCTTGAGGCAGCAAGACTTAGATGGTTTTCATCTTTGGTTAACATTCATATATTTGGACAAACAAAAAAGAGAGAAAGACATAAGGAATTTTTTTTTCTTTTTTTTATGACTAAGGGCAGCACCTTGACATTTCTTTCCATGTTTTTAGGCTGACCTTGGCCCTGACAAATATCTGTCAGATAAAGATTTTCAGTGTCTGATCAAACTTCTGCCTTCCTGTTTGGTGAGTACAAGTCCTTCTATTCTTGGTGCTGATGACATAGTCACAGTGATTTCTGTGGACGGAAGGCGCTGGACATACTCGAATGAATGGAGAGTTGTACTGGATTTCAGTTCAGACTGAAGTTGTTCCATAGAACACCTACAGCCAGTCCCATCGATTGGGGGCCACTTAAGTGGCATTTGTAATACATAACCCATGAAATGTGGTAATTTAAATGTAGAGTTTGTATTTTAAGCAAATATCAGAATAGGAACTAGCCACTTTGTTGTTGGTGAAGATGTTTATATCAATGGAATTAAAAGATCTGTTCTAGCCCGAGAAAACAGAACTTATATGGTTTAGGTAAGCTGCATGAGAGAAAGGCAAAATAACCCTTGTGCTGGCTGAGTTACTGTTCTCACAGGCTAACCAAGTGGTGTTTAGGAATCCCTGGCGTTATTTAGGCTGATACACAGTTCTGATCCGAGGCATTCGATGGAAAGAACCACATCAGTATATTTCAGGATAGATGCAGGATGTCTTCAGGAAAAGACTGACCTGGCCAGGAAATTGGGTTAGTGTTGATGTTCTTTATCTGTGGTCTGCACGAGGATGTGGGGCCCTAGAGGGAGTCCGTCATGGCCTGAGCAGTGACGCTGACCTGTCCAATCTGATGACAAGTTTGTTTTTGAAGATAGAGTGTCTTGTCAAGCTAGCAAAACCAGGCTGTTAATGAGGTGTGATGTGAAGCCAAGAAAAATGCTGTGGTCTTTGAGTTTGATTAATTGTGTGACACAGGCTGGCAGCACTCAATTCTAAATTTCTTTTAATGGATATGCTTTTTAAAAAGAAGGTAGTGCAGACAAGTGATACAAATTAATTACAGAAAAGTCAGAAAACACAGATAAGCAAAAAAAGAAAAAGGAAACTTATTCCTATTTTCAACTAACCAGAAATATTACTTTTCTGGAATATATATATATATATTCTGTACATATTTAAAACCTGATTTTGATTTTTTTGTTCATAGTATACCTTGAACATCTTTTATTGTAAAAAATATAGCATAATATCATTATTACTGGCTGTATAGAATTAGCATTGGCTATACCTCAGTTTACTCAGTGAATCTAGATATTTGGATCACCTCCAGTTTTTTCCTCTTAAAAAAAATCCACAGTGAACAATTTTAGTTGAATGTTTGTATCCATCCTTAATTATTTTCTTAAGATAAATAACTAGAATTAATAAGTAATTATAGGGAGATATTTTGAGACTATAAAATCCCATTCTTTATCAAACCCACTAATTGTAGCATTCATTGAGATTTTCTAACCCTATTATTCTTCTTATATTTATTAGTTGGCATTGTATTGTAAGGAAGAGCTTCCTCTTGTACCCCCTCCTTTTTTAAATATATTTTTATTGATTTCTGAGAGGAAGGGAGAAGGAGAGAGAGATGGAAACATCAATGATGAGAGACAATCATTGATCAGCTGCCTCCTGCACACCCCCTACTGGGGATGGAGTCCACAACCCCGGTATGTGCCCTGACCTGGAATTGAACTGTGACCTCCTGGTTCATAGGTTGAGGCTCAAACACTGAGCCATGCCGGCCGGGCATTGTCCCTTTTTTATTTAAATCTGTAGGGATCAAGGGTTTTTATTTATCCTTTGGGTATCTTTTTGGGGTGAGGAAATATTCTAAAATTAGAGTGTGTGATAGTTGCACAACTCTGAATATACTGAAACTATTGAACTGTACACTTTAAATAGGAGAATTGGAATGCTATGTGAGTTATATTTCAGTAAAGCTATTAAAATGTCACCAGCAAGCATTTTTATGTGATGGTCAAGAGAAACTTCATAATCAATTACCATATTTTCCTGGGCACACCCTTTCACCCCTCAACCCACTTGACCCCTGATCTCCAAATCTTTGCATAGCTCATCTCCCTTGCATTTAAATTTTCATGGTACTTTTTTGAACTAATGGACATTGTAACACCTGGAGCCAGCTGGTTCATGTAACCAAAATTTTAGCTCATGTGAATACTTTCCTTTCAGTCATTAATAATTTGTCTCACTCCCCACCCCACTTGGTTGACGTCAGTCCCCATCTCAAGAGGACACTGTGAGTCATCACATTGCGTATTTCAGGAGAAGGACAGGAAGATTCATGCTAGCTGCTTTGGGAAATGACCAGGTTCCCCAGAATGCTGCTTCTGCCTGTTTTCTGCTGTCATGCCCCCTGGCTGGGCACATGCGGCAGTGTGGAATGTTGGGTAAAGCTGTGAATGAGGACACGTTTATCCTGGTCCCACGTGGCTGTCCTAGGGTTTGGCCGTATTCTTTACCAGTTTATAGAGGCAGAATATTAAAATCACTATTCCAGAAACTCAGACTTTCCATCCCACTTTTGCTTGAACTGTGAGAATATGTATATCAAAGCAGATGCCTTCCCTGTGAGGCTTAGCACGTCAGTTACCCACTTCCTTTCGCCCTTACTGTTTATGTTCCTTCTCCCCTCTACAGAATGATGTACGGGTTGCTCATCTGAAAACTGGGAAATGCCATGTTCGGGGAATTCCCTCACATTTGTATGCAATGAGCCACCGAGATGGTCCTAGACGCTGCATAACCAGCCCCTGGTGTGAAAGGACCACCTGCCGATGCAAATAACTGTGACTTTCCTTTTTGTTTTGGCAGCACCCCTACATCTATCGGGTCACCTTTGCCACAGCTAACGAGTCCTCAGCACTGCTCATTAGGATGTTTAATGAAAAAGGCACTTTGAAGGACCTGATCTACAAGGTACTTGTTGTACAAGTTTATGGTCGGAAATAAGTTTTCAAGTCCCTTTAGAACCTGTTATGGAGACTCTATCCCTAAGGTTCAGAGGCTGAGGGTGTTATTTTAATTTTATTTGGAATTTATTTTGATTCTAATAATAAAAATTACCCAGTTTGGTTAAAAAGCATTCCTTTCCCCACATGAGGGAAGGTTTAATGATTAGGACCATTCCATTAGGTTAGTTTTAAAGTTGTGTCTTTCACTTAACAAAGCAATATCAAACTATCTCAAAGTTGGGGGAAAATGTATAAAAATAATAGTGAAACATTCTAACAGTATATAAGACTTGGGGGTCGGCTAAGGCCAAGACAGGCACATCTTCACTGGACTAGAGAGGGGACGAGACCCAGGTCAGCCTCTTTCTACCAGCTGCACGGACCGTTGTACTTTAAAACCCACCTCCTGCACTCCGCACCCCTCTGCCGAGCCCTGCCCGTGGGGGAGCCTGCGAGCAGATGACCTCTCTGCTGCTGCTCTCTCATGTGCTCTCTATTTTTCTCCAAAGTCAAAACCAAAAGACCCCTTCCTGAAAAAGTACTGCAACCCTAAGAAGATTCAAGGCCTCGAACTCCAGCAAATAAAAACATATGGGCGGCAGATACTAGAGGTAAGAGGTGTTTAATTTTTAAGTTGCATTGGTTCACACAGCATTCCAGTATTCTTTTTTTAAAAATATATTTTTATTGATTTTTTAGAGAGGGAAGGAGAGAGATAGAAACATTGATGAGAGAGAAACATCATCGATCAGCTGCCTCCTGCATGCCCCCCACTGGGGATTAAGCCCGAAACCCCGGGCATGTGCCCTGACCTCTTGGTTCATGGATGGATGCTTAACCACTGAGCCACTCCGGTCGGGCATGGGAAGTTCTTAAGCAACTTCCAAAATAGTTCAAGTTGTCTGGTTGTTTATAAACTGATGGCATTGCCATATTTTATCCCAAAAAGCAATTATTTGAGACAAAGACTAATGTAGAGCTACAAAATTCCAAAAAGCTTCGCTGCTGGAATCTTGTCTGACTTTTAAGAACTTACCTATGTGGGCACCAACCTTTGTGTTATTTTGGTTGATCTTTATCTGTGTGCCAAGATTTTTTTTTTTAATGTTTTTATTGATTTCAGAGAGAGAGAGAGAGAGAGAGAGAGAAGCATCATTGATGAGAGAATCGTAGATTGGCTGCCCCCTGCACGCCCCCTACTGGGGGTTGAGCCCACATCCCGAGCATGTGCCCTGATCGGGAATCGAACCTCAACCTCCTGGTTCAAAGGTTGACACTTAACCACTGAGTCACGCTGGCTGAGCTGGGCCAACATTCTTGATGTTGTTATAGCATGTATATAACCATGTGGCTCCCTTACACAAGTGTAATTAGCATGAAAAGCCTTTCCCACATCACATCAGAGCAGTGTTCTCCCAGCTCTTTGATTGTGCAATCCTATCAGCAAATACAGTTTAAGCATAACTCCCTAGTGTTGTATATATTTAACTATTATATTCATGTGCTACTATTAACATACTTGGTACATTATACTTTAAGAATGAGATTAGAAACAAGACAAATAGAGACATTGTAATAGTTTTTTTATTTCTCAATGGGTTGTCCTGGGCACCTTTACTACTAGGCGAGTCTCTGTTAATTAAGTGGCAGCTGAGAAGGTTGCTTCATTGTGTGGGAGTCTGTCATGTGTTTCTGTTAATGAGCAGCCAAGTGTATTCTAAGGTGAGATTGGACCAGAGATGCTTCCCATTCAGCCCCTTTTCCTGAGCAACCGGCCGAAGCACTGACTCGCTAGCTTTACTCCTCTAGGAGGAGGGTCCAGACTCTGCCCTGAAGGGGGCTTGGCCAGTTGGGATGAGAAAGTGCTTAAATAGAGGCCTTTGGCAGAAAGCTTTAACCCCAGACAGGCGCAGCTCTTCTCTGTTCTCTGGACGCGAGGGAGCGCAGCATTGCGCCTCACGGCTGGAAAGCACTCACAGCTGCTTCCCCGAAGTGGATGGAGGGGGCAGTTTTCTCTAGGAATCTCCCCAGCGACGGCTTAGACTTTGTTTCAAAATATATTGACTTAAAAAGCAAAGTTGAACCTATCTTATATCTGAATGAGTTGGGGGGAAATGTAACCTGTACATATTTTGTACAAGGTGCTCAAGTTTCTACATGACAAGGGATTCCCTTATGGGCACCTGCACGCCTCTAATGTGATGCTGGACGGGGACACTTGCCGGCTGCTGGACCTTGAGAATTCCTTATTGGGCCTTCCCTCCTTCTACCGGTCTTACTTCTCACAATTCAGGAAAATCAATGTAAGTTGCTGAAAGTAATGAAACAGCAGGTGTTTTGAGCTAGAAATTATCCCCATGGCCAGACCCCCTGACCTGCCCATGTAAGAAAAATGCCTGAAGCGGTGCAAGGTGCCTGTGGCCTATTCCCCCACAGAGCACCGCTGTGTCTCCAAGAGGCTGAGCTGAAGCAGTAGGTGGGACAAGGAGGGGCAAGGATCCCTGATTGGAAGACCATGGAGGGCGGGACCGAGACCTTTGGTCAGAGCAATGCCTATGAGCTTTCACAGGCTTTGGAGTTGCGCCTTCACTACCCACCAGGAGTGGAGTCCTCCCGGGCCTTGTTTCTCAGGGGGAGTCGAGGGTAGGGGCACTGGGACTCACAAAGCCAAACTGAGCAGGGACATGCCGCTCCCTCTTTCCTTCCACAGACGTTGGAGAGTGTGGACGTGCACTGCTTTGGCCACTTACTGTATGAAATGACCTACGGACGGCCTCCGGACGCGGTGCCTGTCGACTCCTTCCCTCCGGCCCCGTCTATGGCTGTGGGTCAGTATGGGGTTGGGAGGGGTCTTCTGGGCCCTGGTTGTCTGGACTCACCCCCTTTCTAGAGTCCAGGAAAGACCCAGAGGAAGTTGTCATGCTCCAGAGCCAGAAATTCTTATCCAATTTGAAAGCTAACCAGTTCCGAGTCATTTACTTACATGCTTTTCACTGAGGTTTCAGATGGCTTGTCCATTTGTCAGGCTCTATGAGTCAGGGGCATTTTGTAACGGGCATTAGACTCGATAGCACGAGCATGTAAAGAGAGGTGTGGCCAGACTAAGTCTGATCTGGAGACAGAAGCCAGGATCAGGCTATTTGAAGCCATTCTTGAGGGCTCAGGCAGGTGTCAGACCAGGGCTGGAGTGTACCCGCCAGGAACAGGGGGGCCATGGGCGGCTACCTGGGCAGTGGGAGCCTAGCAGGCCCAGAGCTAGGAAAGGCAGACAGGAAAGCAGACACTGGCAGTTGAATTCAGGAGCTCTCTCTCCCAGCATTACCTGAGGGACTGAGGAGAGCTGGGGACCAGCAGAGGCAGCGTTAGGAAGGAGGGATGGAGGAGCCGATACTCACCAGGCATCCTCTCATCCCCTCCACAGCCCGCTCAGAACGCACTGCTGGAGCACAGAGGGGAGGGCCGGGTAGCTCCTGGACCACGGAGCCTCGAGGTGTGCGAGTCAGCCCTCCACCAACTGCTAGTTTTGTGTTAAGTGAGTTGGTTCAAGACTTGCATCAAGAGAACAGGCGCTGAGACTGCTGTGTTGAGTTTGCACAGCTGAAACTGAGCAGGGACCCGAGTAGGAAAATCTGGCTGCTTGTTTATGTCAGCCAAGGTGTCGGGTGATGAGGCATCAGCAATCGGCATTTTGCACGCTGGTTTTGATTAAAAGCAGGCAACCAGCAAAATGTCTTTCGAGCTCAGAGTTCTTACTTCTGTTTAGTGTTTACTTCTCTTTTCAGAGAGCAGTTTTAGGAATGGTATCGCGAGTCCTTCCTCCCATTGTCTTTGAAGCATATTTGGCTCTCTGTCGGCGTGTGGTTTCTAAACCACTTAGTTTGAGTCATCGGCAGCCAGTGCGGCCAGTGTCCCCTCCCCACGTCCCCCATCTGTCTGCGAGGAGAGTTCTGACGCTGTCCCGATCCGCCTGCAGACAGTTGTTGCAAAGCGGTGTCAAACTTTTCATCACCCAGTGGTTTGCCAGCGTGTTCTGTGGAACTAAAGTGTGTATCTGTTCATTTCAAGTGGCCGTGTTGGAGTCTACGCTGTCTTGTGAAGCCTGTAAAAATGGCATGCCTACCGTCTCCCGGCTCTTACAGATGCCGTAAGTGAATCCCACGCCTTGGTTATGTGCATGACTGGGTGGACACCGACCACTAACCCAAGCGCCTGGTGCCCTAGCAAAGGCTCAGCGGTGGTCCTCGCTGACAGTCCCTTGCAGCATGATACCACGACCTTTCCTTGTGACCTCTGTGCTGCCTCAGGCTGACTGCTCTCCTTTGACACCCCCGTGTTCGTGGCTCTCCCTGTCGGTGTTAGCATTGTGTGTGTGTCCGTGTGGCAGCCCCCCACTTGGAGGGCCCCTCACGCGGCTGTCCTTCAGGAGCCTGTTTCGGGCACCACAGGGCCCCAGCTGTGGCTAGTTCACGAGCCACTGGCCTTGGGGTCAGCCCTCTGTGAGGAGGGCAGGGTGTCTCTGGCCGCCCGTCTACTTGTTTGTTCATTTTCTCACTGGGTGATGTTTACTAAACATCTGACAGGGACCAGGCACTGTGCCAGGGTGTACAGCTCAGAAGACATTCACTCTTACGCGGGGTGTGAATAGGTAATTAGGGTGGTTGAAATAGAGCTTCGGGCCTTTCCTTTAGGTACATTTTCTGTCCCTTCGTGGAGAGGCATCAGGGTGGTTAAGAAAGGTGTGTCACACCTGTAAGCCCTTCCTTGTTTCATTGTCCCCAGCTTTAATGAACATTCTCTCCCCCGCCCCCTCCTCAAAAAAGAGAAAAAAAGAAAGAAGGGTGTGTCTGAGATTAGACGCACCTGGGGTGGACCCAGCCTCACCACTTCTACCTGGGTGACCTTGGGCAAGTTCCCTAACCTCTGGAAACTCAGTTTCCTCATCTGTACAATGGGGATAATAATAGTCCCCATCTCACAGGGTTGTTGGGAGGGTTTAATGAGACGATGCCCGGTACCGTGCCTGGCACTTAATAAGTGCTTATTAAATGTTAGTTGTGGTTACTGTTGATTCAGCTTCTATTTTATGAGCATCACATGCCATGTGATACGCCCAGTGCTTGGTCTGTGCCAGTTTGTTGTAAAAGGATCAAATGTGCTGAAGAAGCATTAATGGGAAACAAGCAGAGGACAGTGAGAGGTGCACACAGCAGAGTCCCAAGGGTAGTGGGAAGTTCAAGTTCTTCTTTTTCAAAATATATTTTATTGATTTTTTACAGAGAGGAAGGGAGAGGGATAGAGAGTTAGAAACATCGATGAGAGAGAAACATCGATCAGCTGCCTCCTGCACACCCCCTACTGGGAATGTGCCCGCAATCAAAGTACATGCCCTTGACCGGAATCGACCCTGGGACCCTTGAGTCCACAGGCTGACACTCTATCCACTGAGCCAAACCGGTTCGGGCAAGTTCAAGTTCTTATAGCGGGTCTGCTAGAGCCCAGGCACCGTGCCAGGCCCTGGGGACACTATGAGGAACAGCATCCTGTGTCCCTGTCCCGTGGACGTGACAGCCACCGTTAACAGCAGTGTGAACATGGGGACATAGATCCAGATAGGGAAGCAAAACAGTTCTCACTGGCTTTCAGGACAAAATGCATTTGTAGTTGGCAACAGCCTGTAACCATGTTAATGTACTTGGGTTTGTATTGCCTCCCATCCTCCAGTTCTAAAGTGAGTCAAATAGTATTCCCTTAGTTAAGTCTTTCTGCCTGTGGGCTTCAGCCTTGAGAATGGCACTCGGGGAGGTGTGCGCTGTGTCCGGCTGAGCTGTTGTCTGGGAGTACATGGACCAGGGCCTTGGTGGGGAAAGGCTCGCCTGCCATCTCTCCTTGCCACATGGTTCCTGATGTGAAAGGGGAACTGGTCAAGGAAAAACCTCCCTCACAGACCTCGGGCGCTGCCCAAACAACTTCCACTCTCCGACCTGTTTTAGCCAAAACAGTTCAGAATTCCTCAGGCTATAGTTTTTAATACATAGTTTTGAAGAGAGAGTAGATTTGCTCTAAAAGCTGCTATTTCTTTTTAAGAGAGCGAGAGACACTACTTTTCCTAGAAGAAAATGGTTTTCTTGTTAGATTCTAATCAGAACAGTTCCTTTCTACTTAGTTGCATGTTTTTATGTTAATGAGTTCTAGAATAAATATCTTCTGGGACTAAAGATAGGAGGGGGACAGTTATTTTATCTAGAAATATCTACTGCGTATATTAAAGGGTAAATTAATTTACTGTACAGCGTGAAAGGGTTAACCTCCCGTACGCAGCTGACCCAGTGCCCTGGAAACGAGTGGGGTTTCCCAAGGCTCCCTGGGTGCCCGTGGACGTTCGGAGTGTGTTGATGAGCATGAAATGGCGGGTGGGGCCAGGCCTGGGGGATGTGGGACTTTGTGGCTACAGATGTCTCGTTCTGCTTTGATCATCTTCTGAGAGTGCACCTGTTTTAAGTAAGATTTTGTTTTTTTCCTTCTCCTTACAGATTATTCAGTGATGTTTTACTAACCACTTCTGAAAAGCCACAGTTTAAGGTAAAGCAAATCATATCATGCTTTGGTTTATGACGTAAGTTGACTTTGAAAGTTAGCGCTTTTTAAATTAAAACAGAGAAGGCTAGTACTTACAATAAGGAAACTTTGAAAACAATCTAAATGTCCTACAATTAGGGAGTGATTTAATGATTCATACTGCATCTAGTTGATAAAGTATTTATATCTAGTAAAAGTGAAGTTTATTAAGACATCGCAGTAGCATGGAAAATGATTATTATTTGGGCCAAGCGGGGGAAGGATGTAAATAGAGTTATAAAAAATGCCTGTCAGCCTGGAAGGGGGTGTCCTGGGAAGTGGTGTGTGTGCTGTGGAGCGGGGAGGGGCTTTGGAACCCCAAACACCAGGTTGATGCCTTGCTTTGCTTTTTAAATACCAGCCGTTTATCTAAGGAGGGTTTCTCAGCCAGGGCATCTGACGTATTGGGCCAGGCAGTCATTGTTATAGGGGCTGTCCTGTGCATTGTAGGATATTAAGCACCATCCCTGTCCTGTAACCACTGGATGTGAGTAGTACTCCCCCCGCACCCCGCACACTGTGACTATCAAAAACGCCTCCAGCCCTGGCCAGGTTCCTCAGTTGGTGGGAGCGCCGTCCCGTACACCAAAAGGTTTCGGGTTAGATTCCTGGTCAGGGCACATACCTAGGCTGCCGGTTTGATCCCCAATCAAGGCACATATAGGAGGCAACTGATCAATGTCTCTCTCTCCCTCCCTCTCTCTAAAATCAATAAACATATCCTTGGGTGAGGATAAAAACATGCCTGTGACGTGCCAGATGTCCCCTGAAAGGGGAGGGGATAAAATCACCCGCATTGGAGAGCCAGCCACCTTTGGGTCTGCATTTACTCAGTGTGGGGCTGATGGGTAATGCCGTTTACTGTCATTGGACAACAGACCATCTACGTGAACACCCAGTTTAGGGCCTGGCCGTCCGCGGTGCTCACTGTTAGTGTCGTTTCAGGTAGTAGAATGAAGGGGAATTCTCTTCTCCCCTTTATAGCCCCAAGAATATGTAATACTCTTATGATGGAATTAAATTTAGAAAAAAAGAAAAACCCCGAAACAAGGTGGGGTCAGAAGACTATGTAGGTGACAGGCGCTTTCCTCTCTCCTTTTTTACCAGTTAGCGGAGTTCTGACAGTAATAGCTGCTTTAGATCTGAAGTAGGAAATAAAAACATTTAAATTTATCTCTTTCTTGAGTCTCCTCAGAAAATGTATTCAGCCTTGTGAATAACTGTGCTCTCCCCCGACCCTGATGGTCCGGCCCAAAGATTACAGCAGCCCTCACTCTTCCCCGAAGCCAGAGTCTCTGGCCAGAGACAGTATGATTTTAAAAGCCAACGTTAATTTCCTGTAGTGCATTTCCTTTCTGGAAAGACACACAAGAAACGGTGACATTGGTTGGTTGCCTCCAAGGAGGGGACCAGGTGGGAGACTTTACTGTGTATACACCCTTTTATATGTACTTGTGAAGCATATGGCTGTCTTACCTACTTACCACTTGTTTTAAGTTTATATTTTTTAAAGAATAATAGAGATAAAAGCATGACCTGGGTGTCTGTTTTCCAGGCCTGAGCTCTCATGGTTTGAAAATGAATAAATTCAGAAATGAGAGGCTCAGAAGCTTCCCAGGCTATTAAGAGTATCTTTCAGCAGGAAAAGCTTAATCTTGTGAAATTCAGAAAGTAAATCTTTGACAGAGAAAATCCCTCTGAAGTAATAAAATATTATAATTATTTGAACTTGTATGTGTTCCAATAAGCTTTATATATATTTTACTTTTAATCATGATAAAATGTAAAATTTACCCTCTTAGCCATTTTTAAGTAGTATTCACATTGCTGTGTTGAATGGATCTCTAGAGCTTTCCGTCTTGCAAACTCAACCTCTAGACTCATTGACTGACAGCTGCCCATCACTCCTCCCCCAGCCTTGGCAAACAGTTCTACTGTCTGCTTCCAAGATTTTGACAACTAAGTATCTCATAAAGTGGAGTCATATAGTATTCGTCCTTTTGTGACTGGCTTACTTTACTCAGCATAATGTTATTAAGTTTTCTTTGCATTACAGCCTGTGACAGGGTTTCCTTTTTTGAGCTGAGTAATATTCCCTTACGTGTGCTATTATATACCACATTCTGTTAATCCATTTACCTGTTGATAGGTATCCCACCTCTTGGCTGGTGTGAGTAATGCTGCAGTGAACATGGGGTTTGCTTCGATCATGTTTTCAATCCTTTTGGATATATACCTAGAAGTTGCTGGATCATATGCAAATTTTTTTTTTTTTAATAAATGATTCTCATTATTTTTTTTTAAATATATTTTATTGATTTTTTACAGAGAGGAAGGGAGAGAGATAGATAGTTAGAAACATCGATGGGAGAGAAACATCGACCAGCTGCCTCCTGCACATCTCCCACGGGGGATGTGCCCGCAACCCAGGTACATGCCCTTGACCGGAATCGAACCCGGGACCTTTCAGTCCACAGGCCGACGCTCTATCCACTGAGCCAAACCGGTTTTGACGCAAATTTTATTTTTAGATTTTTTTGAGCAATTTCCACACTAGTTCCCATAGCAGCTGTGCCATTTTACATTCTCACCATTGGTGCACTAGGATTCCAGTTTTATTACATTCTCGCTAACACTTGTTATTTTCTGTCTTTTGGGGTTTTTTAAAAATATATTTTTATTGATGTCAGAGAGGAAGAGAGAGGGAGAGAGAGATAGAAACATCAATGATAAGTGAGACACATCAATTGGCTGCCTCCTGCATGTACCCCAACCAGGGCCAGGGATGGAGCCTGCAACCTAGGTACGTGCCGTTGACCGGAATCGAACCTGGGACCCTTCAGTCTGTAGGCCGACGCTGTATCCACTGAGCCACACCCGCTAGGGCTATTTTCTGGTTTTTCAATAGTGACGATTCTAATGTGTGTGAGGTGATATCTCATTGTGGTTTTGATTTGCACTTATCTAATGATTAGAGATGTTGATCATCTTTTCATGTGCTTGTTGGTCACATGTATCTTTTCTTTGGAGAAATATCTATTCAGGTCCTTTGCCCATTTTTTTTCTTTGATTTTCTGTTCTTTTTCCCCCCCAGCTTTATTGTGGTATAATCAGTTTTTGGTGACAAGTCCATATTTTAAATTTGCTTATGTTTTTGTTGTTTAGTTATAGTTCTTCATATATTCTGGATATTAATCCCTTATCAGATATATGATTTCCAATCATTTTCTCCCCCCCTAGGTTGCCTTTTCACCTTGTCATTGTTTCCTTTGATGTGCAGGAGTTTTAAGTTCGATGTGGTCCCATTTGTCTGTTTTAGCTTTTGTTGCCTGAGCTTTTGGTGTCCTATCCAAGATATCATTGCCAAATCCAGTATCATGAAGCCTTTCCCTTATGCTTTCTTCTTGGAGTTTTATAGTTTTAGGTCTTCAATCCAACCTTGAGTTAATTTTTGTATGTGGTGTAAGGTTCATTCTTTTCCAGGTAGATATCCAATTTTCCCATGAGCATTTATTGCAAAAACTGTCCTTTCCCCATGTGTGCTTTGGGCACCCTTGTCAAAGACCATTTGACCAGATGCATGAGGGTTTATTTCTAGGCTCTCTGTTCTGTTCCATTGTCTGTATGTCTTTCTTTATGCCAGTATCACACTGTTTTGTTTCCTGTAGCTTCGCAATATGTTGTAAAATCAAGAAGTGTGAGGCCTTCAATTTTTTTTTTTTTAATTTTTTTTTTTCAGAGAGGAAGGGAGAGGAAGAGAGAGATAGAAACACCAATAATGAGATAGAATCATTGACTGGCTGCCTCCTGCACGCCCCCACTGGGGATTGAGCCTGCAACCCAGGCATGTGCCTTTGACCAGATGGAACCTGGAACCCTTTAGTCCACAGGTCGACGCTCTATCCACTGAGCCAAACCTGTTAGGGCGAGGTCTCCAATTTTTATCTTCTTTGCAAGATTGTTTTGGTAATTCAGGGTCCCTTGAGGATTAGTGAAATACTTGAAGCATACATCGTATCTGTTTTTGTGTTCATGTTACATTTATTGATAAGAAATGCTAATGAGCTGAGTGTGTAGGGGATACCAGAAGTGGCCAGGAGAGGATTCAAGTGGACAACTTGTAGCTGATTTCATTCCAGATGCCCTCCCTCTTGATAACCAATTGCTTCTTCTCTAAAACCAAGATTTGGGAGAATCTCCAGCCGTTTTCCTCAATAAATTATCTGCTTTCTCTTTCAGATCCCCACAAAGTTAAAAGAGGCATTGAGAATTGCCAAAGAATGTATAGAAAAGAGACTAATTGAAGAACAGAAACAGGTAAATCTCACATAGTTGCTCATTTCTCTTTGATCTTTAAGTATTGTCACCCTCTGCCTGGAATTCCTGGTGATTCACTTTTTTTTTTTTTTTTTGTAATTCTTACCCCTGGGGAGTGAGGATATTTTTTCCATTGATTTTTAGAGAGAGTGGAAGGGGGGGCGGGGGAGAGAAGAGAGAGAGAAACATCAACGTGAGAGACACATTGATTGGTCACCTCCTGTTCATGCCCAGACCAGGGTCAGGGATTGAACCCACAACCCAGGCACATGCCCTTGAATCGAATCCACAGCCCTTCGGTCCGTGGGTCGATGCTCTAACCACTGATCAAACCGGCCAGGGCCAGTGATTACTTTTAACTGATTGTTCGTGCCACAAGCGTTTCTTGCTCTGAACCAGGCTCCAGGCTCAGTGCTATGAGACAGCTGAGTCCTTCGCTGTCCTTCCTTAAGGAGCTCAGCCTGTTGGGAAACAAGCAGATCCATACAGGGTGGTCATCCTTTGTGATCGGGGCAGGCTGGGTCGTGCTGGGCACGCATGGTCCGTGCTCAGAGGTGCTGGGGACCACACTCATCTTCTGTGTGTGAGAGGCGGGAAGGAGCTGAGGGAAGTGAGAAAGGTCTTCTCCCTCAGGCATACCCTTCTCCCAGACATCCAAGCCTGACCTTGGAGCAGGGAAAGATTTTTCATCCAGACAATTCCATTTGGCGAAACCCGTTAGGTTTTTGTTGGTGTAGGATACGCTCACATTTGTGGCGAATTGCGTTCTCTTTTAGATTCACCAGCATCGAAGACTGACAAGAGCTCAGTCGCACCATGGATCTGAAGAAGAAAGGAAAAAGAGGAAGATTTTAGCTCGAAAGGTGAGCCTGCTGTCTCTCCGTGTGGAGAAGAGTTCTGGGTCCCACCTGAAGAAAGTTCTAGGCTAATGGTGCACATTTAGTGAAGGGCAGATTTTGTGCTGTATCTCCTTGAAAGCCAGACTATTTGCAGATGACTGGTTTGCAGCTTTTAAAAAGGAGCTACATGCTATCAGGAAAGAAATGGGCCGTAAGTGTCCTGGCTGCTGGGCCGGTTATGGCGAATGGAACTGGGGGCAGTGATTGGCCTGAGACAGTAGCCAGCAGGATTGTGGTTATTTTCCCCTTTGGTTTTGGCTTGTGACTTCTTCTCGGTATTAAGTTACCGAGTGTGTGGATATGACCTTGCATGTGGATAGTTTAACTGCGTGCCTAGAAAATATTTTTATTCTAACTCTCAGCTTCAGTGTGTTTACTCTTTCTCCCCCACCCCCTTTCTCTTTTTATTTTTAAAGAAGTCAAAACGATCTGCTATTGAAAATAGTGAAGAACATTCAGCAAAATACAGCAACTCCAATAATTCAGGTAACTGGTTATAGATTGTAGTGGAGCCAGCACCCAAAGGCCAGGACCAGGGGTCTGTAGTTAGCTGAGGGGCCTTGGGTTCTGGTAGCCAGAGTGTGGTGACAAGTGAAGAAAACAAAAGCATTCTGTCCCTAATGAAGGATACGGCAGCATCATGGCTCACGGAACTCGAGTGCTGGAAGGGACCTGAGAGGTCACTGGGTCAGCAGCCTCTTCACTAAGGGCAGGACTCCATAGTGTGTGGGATGGAGGGCCGGGCGGTGAGAGAGCACTGTCATCCCTGCCGCTCCCGGCCGCCCCTCACCCAGCCCCACAGGCTTTGGCCTTAATGTCCCCATCTCTGCACATTAGGGCCAAAGTGATGATCCCTTGAGACCTTCCAGTTCTCCTACCCGTGAATCAGCTTGAGCTTAGCCCTGGAAGGCCAAGGGAACAGGGAGGTTTCTTTAGGCTCAGGAATAGCTTCATATACTTTTTTTAAAAATCCTCACCCAAGGATATGTTTTTTTCTTTGTTTTATTGATTTTAGAGAGAGACAGAAACATCGATGTGGGAGAGAAACATCAATCTGTTGCCTCCCTTATGTGCCCTAACTGCAGTTGAACCCGCAACCTGAGAATGTGCCCTTATTAGGAATCAAACCCACAACCATTTCGGGGCATGGAACGATGCTCCAGCCAACCAAGCCACCAGCCGGGCTAGCTGCATATGCTTCAGGAAGAAGGAGGACCTATCAGAGAGAGAGAAACTGAACACGCAGAAGAGAGAGTAATGGGGTGAAAGGCCTTGAAGGCCCAGGACTCAGCATCAAGAGCCCAGCTGGCAGTCTCAGGCTTGGAGGAAGCCCATCCATCTCTTCCTGGAGGCAGGAGCCAGGGGGGCGGCAGGTGAAAGGGTAGAGGCATTTAAAGGCAGAAGGAAATTGAGAGCGTTCACAGTTCATGCCTTCTCAGTCTTCTCCGGGAAGTCAGGGAGGAGGGCCTCTGCTGGGGGGAAGGGGAGAAACGGGGTGGCACACAGGCAGACTAGCCCCAGCCAGAGAATGCAGGTGGTGTGGGCGGAGCTGGGAATTAGAAGAGTTGGGAGAAGAGGGGACTCCACAAAGAAGGTGAGAATCATGCTGACACCACTGCCTGCAGAGTCCAGGCCAGAAAAGGGCGAGGGGGGCGGGCGCTACAGGGGAGGAGAAGGAGGGAGGCCAGGCCCTGGAGGTCCCAGTGAGGACCCAGGCAGGCTGCACACGTGTGGAGGCTGAGGGGGGAGAGGGGCTGTAGGACGCTGTGGCCTGTGGGTAATTCCACAGTTGGAGGTCTCTTTTCTCCATGGTGGATGGGATGGACATGGCCAGTCACTATCGTGCCTAAGACCCATGTCTCCAACCAGCATGTCTGGCTGGTGGTCCTTCTGTCCAGCAGCCACTTTCTTACAAAGCAGAGAAAGCCTGACTGTGTTTTCCACCTTCCTGAGGCACCGCCGGCCTGCAAGGCCCTGTGCCAGATGCGGCAGATGGGGCCCCGGGGACTCCAAGCACGGCCGTGCCCTCGGGAGTTTAGGAGAGCAAACAGCAGTTGATGGAAATGTGCAGATCTTCTCCAGATCCCACGGGATCCACACGTTCAGTCTTCTCCCCATCACCATCTGGGCTGGCACTGCCAAGCAGTAGGAGACAGGGCGGCCTAAGCTTTACCTCCTCTCCCAGTAAAACGCCTCATCGTTTACAGGGAGGTGAGAGAAAAGTGGAAATAGAGGAAAGAAGGGTGTGTGATAGGACATTTCTCCTCATGCCCAGTGCCCCTGCCACGTCGGCATGTCCTGTGGGTAGTGGGTGAGGGGATGGCGCAGGCTTCCGCAGAACAGCCAGCGGTTTCCCGAGGCTGTGGTTACCCCCTCTGTGTGGGGGAGGCTCTCATGTGGGAACCCCTGTCTGCTCTTGGGCTTCTTCCATGTGAGGTCTGCAGCGTGTATTCTGGGGGTTGCTGAGCACTGGGGAGATGCTGGGAACTTGGGAATATTTGAAATACAACAAGGTGACTGGGTACAGAAAATGCATGCAACATAGGGGCGTATGCACATTGTTTTAATGTATATAAGGGTATTTATTGAATTTTGGGTAAGAAAAGGCCTGGGAAATCCACACACTGAATGGGCTGCCCCTACCTAATGGAATGGACCTGCGGATGAAATGGAGCTTTACACAGCATTGCTGGGTGGATGCTGTGGGAACTCCCACCTCCTTGGACGGCCCCGCACCTCTCTGTCCCAGCATGTCTCTGACATGTTGAGGCACTGTCATTCGTCCTTCATTTCCCAGGGAAGGGGCTTGGGTCAGGAAGAGGGACTGCAGCCAAATGCATAGCTGGTGGCTTTGCAGGGTTGGTTTCAAATAAGCAAGCTGTGGGGGAGCAGTCCAGCCCTAACCTAGCCCTGTGCTGGTGTGGAAGCCTGTGGTCCCTGGTCCAGGCCCTGGATTCTCTGTCCCTCCTCAACTTTTAGCACAAGGACACACACTAGCCACGGGCAGATTCTCCGACAGTGGTGGGGCCCAGCGGGCCAAGTTCCAGGTGTCTTTCTTTAGTCCCATATGCCTTTCTGTGTTTTCTCTTAGCAGGATCTGGGGCCAGCTCACCTCTCACATCTCCGTCCTCGCCGACTCCGCCCTCTACAGCAGGTTAGTGATGGAGGCAAAGTAGCCTGCTCCCTCCTGCAATGCACCTGCAGGGGGAGGAGCCCGGCTTCTCTTCTCACCTGCGCCCAAGCCTGTCAGGGTGGGGCAGTGCCGGTCTCTCCAGAGAACCGGAGGAGTGCACGTTAGCAGTGCCATCGGGAGAGCGGAGGGTCTGCATTTACAGGCTCGGGTCTCCTGGGAATGCAGTGGTTGGTTTCGGGGTCACTAGCCACCCTCTACCCCAGGCTTCTGTCTCTGCTGAAAAGCCGCCTGCAGGGCTCCCCAGATTAGAGCTCCTTTGGGCACAGGCTCTGGGTACACGCGGCTGAACACAGCAGTCGCAGCGCCGCCCAGGCCCTGTCCTTCCCCAGCGCTCTCCTCGGGGAACCCAGCCATTATGTGGGTTTTGTCACAGAGCAAAACTGGGGAGACGCCCAGGTGTGGGAGGGGAATGGCCGCGGTGGTTCTGGGTTCCTGATAACTGTCATCCGGGTAGTCTGTGGCTAGCCTTCGTGTCACCTGTGAATTAAATCAGATACTACGAGTTTTGTTGGGGAAATGTAGAAAAATGTTAACCCAGGAATACTTACACAAGTCTCTGATTCGGTGGTGTGGCCTCACAATGCTAGCTCCACTCCTTTCGTTTTGAACTACTATCTCTCTCACTCACCATTTTATAAGCCCCATAAGAACACACTGGAGTCCCAGTATCTCGTTTGTTCTTAAATGAGCCAGATGTTCTAGATGCCGGCGGAGCTGGTCTGCCCCTCAGCTTGCCGCTGGGTTGGGAGCGGCGGCAGCTACCTGAAGGAGGTCATTGGCGGTTGATGTGTGAGTTGACAACAGCATATGCGTTAGGTTTAAGGCGGCACCTGGGAGCTACCAAGTGCATCACTGCTCGACAGCTCTCCCATGCTTCTCTCTGACCTCCCTGAAAATGGCGAGCACATGTAGGGGGGCTGGTTTGAGCGGCTCACTCTGGCTGTGTTGTCCTGGCTGGCGGAGGATGGTTACTGGCGGCTCGCTGCCGAGCGTGCTGCCAGCACCTATTTTAGTAGCAAAGTACCTGGCTCGTCGGGACGATGTTCCTTTCCCCTGTCTGACTTTGTCAGCAGGTTTTTACAAGAAAGCCCCCAAATATTGATCAAGACAGAAAATAGACTTCTCTGTCTTTTGTAGAGGTGACCTGTGTAGGCTGATCAGAAATTTCTGGAGATCTACTGCCCAGATCATGTTGAGCCACTTTCTCCTAGACAGGATGTGCCTTTCACACCACTTAGGCATAGTGAGGACAGTGGGGAGGATGGATAGTGAGGCTCCGTGAGCTCTCCTTTAACAGAGGCGGTGCCTGTTAGAGTGCAGAGCACTTGGCGTGCATGGGATGTGATCCTGGGAAGTTAGTGCTAGTTCTCATGTTTAAATGTCTTGGGGAATTCGGTCTATTTGGATTTTTGTTGTTGTTAATCCTCTAATTTACCTGTGGTTTGAAGGGAACTATCTCCTACGTAGCAGTTTTGCATGAGTGGGGGTGACGTTTAGAATGAGAGGAGAAGGAAAAGAAGGATCTTGTAGTTAGAGTCAATGTTGGAAAAACTGAGGAGAGTGGGAACAGTTGGGGGGCTTCACTTCAAGATAGATCTCCTCACAGATTTGATAATATTTATCTTGAAGGGGAGTCCTAAGAATTCAGAGGGAAAACACAAGTGAGCCCCAAGCACAATGCCTGGCAGACATGAGACATCCCCAGCAAATATTGCCTCCTTCTTCCCTTACCTCCTTTAACACTACGGTGTCGGGTGAATTTCCCGCCAAAATATAAGATGGCGCGGGCAATTATTTAGTAATGCATATCATAAAAGTGATAACTAGCCCTTGACTGTCAACCTACCATCTGAGGCTCTCTATGGGGCACACAGTGAGTTAGGTATCTTTGTGAACGGCAAACAAACAAATATTTGGTAATACGCAGTTACAATCGGCCCGAGTTTACACGTTTCCCGTAAGCAGACAGGCAAGGCCCCAGCTGGAGCGGAGTCACGTTTCCAGCGCCTGTCGGAAGCCCCGGATGATAGACACAATTCAAGCAAATGCATTCTCCGGGGCCCAGCCAGCTCAGTTTTTTCTCCCAATAGTTCTGTACTTAGAGAACCCACCTGAAAAACTAGTTCACCACAAGCAACATCTCGAGCTTCTGTTCTGTGGGAGGCCCGGGGTGGCAGCCTCGTGGACTGTACCATGGGAGGCGTGCGGTCAACCCTGTGGGTGGGTTTGCTTGGACTTGCTCTGCCTTCCAGGCCTCTGCCGGGTGAGAACAGACTGTCAGCCCAGGGTGGCAACTTCTGGCTCCTCAGCCCCTGCGTAGAGGGGTCCTTCCCCCCAGGCTGGAGGCCGGCTTCGCACTGGGCTCAGCTTTCTCGCTGCCTCCCTGCACGCTGCCCACCTTGTTGCTGGAATCATTTACTCCAATTGATGTCTCTGCTTCTAGGCCAGGCTTATGGTCTAACTAAATCAAGGAGAGTGTTTTTTGTGTGTGTGTGTGTGTTGGTTTTTTTTTAATATATTTTATTGATTTTTTACAGAGAGGAAGGGAGAGAGATAGAGAGTCAGAAACATTGATGAGAGAGAAACATCGATCAGCTGCCTCCTGCACATCTCCTACTGGGGATGTGCCTGCAACTCAGGTACATGCCCTTGACTGGAATCGAACCTGGGACCTTTCAGTCCGCAGGCCGACGCTCTATCCACTGAGCCAAACCGGTTTCGGCGGAGAGTGTTTTTCAACTTTCTGATGAAATGCGTTTTTCTCGAGAAATGAAGGAAAATTCTTCATTTTCAAGGGCTAGTATTAAAAAAGAATTCCCTGTTAAAGGTGGCAACTCAGTGTGGGAGCTCTTGGGAATTACACCTTGGGCCAGGAGCCTAAACTTGAGAGCCGCCACGTTGCTGGTTCTGGGACCTGGACCAGACACTAACCCTCCCTGTGTCTCAGGTTTCCTATTTGTAAAGGAGGGTAATAGCAGTGCCTGCCTCGCCAGGTTAGTAAGGGGATCCAGTGAGGACGAGGTTAGGACAGTGCCTGCACACAGGAAGCCCGGCATACTGAGTTCCCAGGAGACCTTGAGTGAGTCACTTCTCGCGTCTGGGTTTCCTTACCTCCTCCCTAACAGACAAGGGTGGGAGTGACAGGATACTGTCTCCCATTCCTTCTAATCAGGCTCCCTGTACAGCTACTGTGAACCCTGCCTTTGACAGTTTGCACAGCAATAGCTCAACCTGGGCAAGTTCATTGTCACAGCATTGCCTTTTTTCCTGAAAGAGCGCATGTTAAGCACATTCATGGTGGTGAACCCGCACAACCAATGGGTCCGGTCTGCCTGTCACTACTTGAGCCAATTAAGCAGAGACAGGGTTGAATCATACATGGGCGTTTATTCCAATACTGTGGCAGTATGGGAGAGCAGCAGGTCATCCACAAAAATCTGCCCCCCTGCCCTCCATAAACCAGCTGCTTATCTAGGGTAGGGCAAGGATTACATGGGGAAGTAGGGATTACAGGCATGGGGAAGTAGGAGGCTGGGGTGGGACTCCATTGTTTGGGCAACAAGGCTGTCAATCTTTCCATGATAATAGGCAGTTCCTGAATGCACATTCCAAGGTTGATTCCCAGCGGCAAAGATGACTCCCAGCCAGGTTAGAAGGTACTTTCTCTAATCAGAACAAAACAATCCAGGTTAACAGGGCATGATTAATATCTCTTCTTTCTTATAACTAAGAGCTAGTCCCCAATATTCTATTTGTGCCCCTAACAGTAGTTGAGGATGGTCCTAGCTCAGTTACTTTTAGGATGGGGCAGAGGTGACAGATGTTTGTGAGTGAAGTGGCCGTAGTCTCAGGAGCCCTTTCCAGCGTTTGTATAGGGACTGGGGTCTCTCCGGGTGTGTGTACCTCCCTGCCCTCGGGCCTCCTCTTGAGGTCCTCACCAATTTGACAGGAGAAGTATCTTTCCCCTCAGTCTGCCAGCACTTCCAGCAGGTGGGTTGGAGTCTCTAAACCTCTTTTTCAGTGAGAACATTCCTAGCACTTTGTTTTCTGCGAAAGGTTATGTTTCCTGCCTCTAGAAGGTCACTCTTTCCCAACCTTTCAGACCTCACGGACCACCAGTTGGCGACCACTGATTTAGAAGGTCCCAGTTTACACACATCAATATTCCCTTCCACCCTCCCTTTGGGAGCAGGCAGCTTTTGCCAAATATTGTCTTTATTTTTTAAAAAAAACAAACACGTTTGCAAAGAGTATTTAGGGAAAGCAAAGTAAGCAGGAGGACTGAGATTCTTGCTGTTTTTAATCGTATTTAACACATTTTGAGCACTTATTCTGTGATAGGTATTGTTCTAAGTGATGTGTAGTCATTGTTTCATTTGATCCCCATGAACACCTTCCTATGCAAGGAGAATGGATTTTTCTGGTGCTCCATTTTACAGACAAACTGAGGCTCCAGTGGGGTTCAAGGACTTTGGCCAAGGTCACACAAGTGGGGGATGCTAGAGCCAGGATTAAAACGGCTCTGCCTTTGCTTATTTACCCTATGGCCTGTGGGTAAGCGCTGTACGTGGTTGGTGGGAGAAGAATCCTGAAAGCAGAGTCAGAAATCCCAGGCCTGGTTTGTGGCTTCACCACCTTCCAGCTGTGACCTTGGACGAGTAATTTGCATTCTTCAGAGCTGCCTTTGGAAAGACGTCCAGGACAAGGCTTGAAAAGTGGTAAAATGCTATCAAGTTTAAGCGATGGATGTCCTGCAAGAGAATTCTAGCCCTGCAAGAGAATTCTATCCCTTCTTGCTTGCAGTCTAGGATTTTAAGCAATAATTTCGAAGAGAGAGAGCTGACAGAGTGTAGAGGAGAGAGGGAAGTTTCCTATCTGGACGGGAGCTGGAGGAGGGAGAACAGAGCCTATGACTGAGGACTTGAGTAACCGGACGGAGGGTTAAGAATAAATAAGGCACA